CCCTGGAGTACAGATTTGATTTTGACATACCGGTAGTAAAATAGTTGCTCTATATTCTGTAAAGCCCTTTGGTGTTGTATCTGAGTGTAATTATTAATGTTCGATGTTGTTCTTGTATGTTCATCGATGGAGTATTAGGGCCAGGCTAGAGATTTGTTTTTCTTTTATTTCTTGAATAAAGTCGTAACATTACGAGGGTAAAGTTGTAAAATTCTGAGAATAAAGTCATAACATTATGAGAAAGGTTAGCCATAACATTACTAGAAAGGATATTCATAAAATTACGTGAATAAAGTTGTAAAATTACCTGAATAAAGTCGTAAAATTACGAGAATAAAGTTGTAAAATGATGAGAATTAAGTCATAAATTATGAGAATAAAGTCGAAAAATTATGAGAATTAAGTCACAACGAGAATAGTCACAAATTTACGAGAATAAAGTCGTAAAATTATGAGAATAAAGTTGTAAAATTACCAGAATAAAGTTGTAAAATTACCAGAATAAAGTCGTAAAATTACGAGAATAAAGTTGTAAAATGACAAGAATAAAGTCATAAAATTACGAGAATAAAATCATAAAATTACGAGAATAAAATCATAAAATTACGAAAATTAAGTCGTAAAATGAGGAGAATAAAGTAGTAAAATTATGAGAATAAGTCGTAAAATTATGAGAATAAAGTCACAACAAGAATAGTCACGAAATTACGAGAATAAAGGCGTAAAATTACGAGAATAAAGTCATAAAATTACGAGAATAAAGTCGTAAAATATGAGAATAACGTCGTAAAATTATGTGAATAAATTAGTAAAATGATGACAATAAAGTCACAACGAGAATAGTCACAAAATTATGAGAATAAATTCATAAACTTATGCGAATAAAGTCATGAAATTACGAGAATAAAGTCATGAAATGATGAGAATAAAGTCACGACGAGCATAGTCACAAAATTACGAGAATAAAGTTGTAAAATTAGTCAAAGTCATAAAATTACGAGAATAAAGTCGTAAAATTATGAGAATAAAGTCGTAAAATGAGGAGAATAAAGTCGTAAAATTACTACAATAAAGTCGTAAAATGAGGAAAATAAAGTCACAACGAGAAACGTCAAAAAATTACGAGAATAAAGTCATAAAATTACAAGAATAAAGTTGTATTTACTCTTGAAAGTAGCCCTTTCTTCCCTAAAATAAGAAATGTCAAACATTATGTAACATTAAATTATACTTTGGCATCGCTTTGACATGTATTCTTGTAATGTTTCGAAATAGAAAAAAATCTCTAGCATGGCCCTAATACTCCGTCGTATTTCTTTGTTTGCAAAAATAAACAAAAACTCAACTAACTAAAAACAGTGATGAATTATTGTTCGAGCTTTAGCTGAAACTTGTCCCATTAATTTCATGTCTAATGCAA